AACCCAAAAAAGTCACTCATATCGTAAAGCCTTCCAGGTCAAAAATTCACTGCCATAAGAAGCTTGTATTTCAGAAATGTTTCTGAAATCTAGGCGCTGAGAATTAAACAAAATTTGGAAAACCTAAGAATTTATATAAATATGTTCTAAGTGGATGAAACAGAATCAATGAGTGCATGACTACTGCAAATCAAAAGCAGTGTCCATTAGCACCTCGAAGTGAGAAAAGAGCAGACTTAATGTAGTGCCGTCCAACCCATTCCCCGCAATTTGTATGACAAATCAGAAAGGTCCAAGGTTTGCTTTCTGCTTCAAAGAGCATATTGTAAAAATCTAGAGGTGAGAATAAACAAAATACGATTAAAAAATTTAATATGTGCAGAAAAATAATTTCTAATGAGTAAATAAAGTGAAAGTTATTATGTAAAAAATATAACGCAGATATGAACGTCAATCTGCGCTAGTTGTATAGGTTTCTTTTCTTAATTTTGTTAGAGAGTTTGCTAACTATTTTATTTGTTTTTAGGCAAGATCAAAGATCTGCTTCAGCTCTCGAAATCGCTGCCCCATGCACTACTCCACGTTCTTATGGTCAGAGTATTCTTGCCCAGCTACTTTCTGGCGCGCCAGAAAGCACGAGTAGTCGTAAGTACCTCGTTTTAAACGATGTCAGTCGCACTGTTTTCTTCGAAAAGTAGGAGGGTGGTAGAATTTCAAAGGTTTATCTTGGTTTCTGCATTAGTTAGCTTGAAACCAGAAGGCCTACGAATCAGAGATCTACCAACTGCTGCGGACAAACGATGACAACCTCTGAAACTCTACAATCTCCTGCAGAAAGAAGGCTTTGAGACGCGGACTAAAACTTTGGTATTGATCAGTCGTATGACTGGCCGTCATAATTTTTGCGTTGTGTACTAATGAATAATGTTTTATGGAATTTTTTTAATGGCCATAAAATGGTCTATGAGCAAAATTATTCATCCGTTTTAAAGGTACAAATTTTCAACAGACCACCGGTACTCTAAAACAGGTGAAAAGTGATTACAAGGAGCAAAACAGACTGTTGGTCACTGATGTAATTATCATCAATCAGTACGTTTCCAAGTGTCAATCATGCGCCACTCTTCCAAAACCCAATTTCACGGCGGATGACACCGGTCCCTCGCTTCAGGTTGCCTTGGACGAGGGTGGGAAGGGAGGGGGACATTTAAGCAGGTTACGGCTTCTAATCTTTTGATCAACTAATACCTTATTAAATATTCACCTATTCATTGATTTTTACGGCACAAAAGATAAGGAGTAAAAGCTGCAACGTCAGGAGATATTTCAACGGCAGTGTTTTGTCGCCATCTGAATGACCTAGGCAATTCATCTAGTTAGAAACACAACCCTAATCAAGTCAGAAAGCGCCATTTTTCAAAATTTTTGGGAAGTACTGTATTCGATGAATATCAAATTGCCAGACATGAATGGTTCTCATGAGCAGTAAGCATCGAGAGGGTGGTGTTCTACTATATCTCGTGATTTTGCGACATTCGAACTCTACAGAACAACTTTTGCCAAACAGGCAAGCTTATGATGATCAGATTAGAATAAAAGGCCCATAATTCGACATGTGTGAAATATAAAGAGATCGAAGAGCTAAATTAAAAATGAGTATAGACTTTTTCATATTAGAAGCATAATTAAGACTGGGACACAGGTTTAAAATCGCCTAATTGATGAACAATAATCATTTATACATTATCCGTATGAATTATTCAGAATCATTATGATCAAGGCTTCGTGACTAATAAAATGCAAAATATTAAAGTTGTTATAGGCGGCGAAGAATTAACGTGGTTCCAACACTTGTGAGAAGAAATCATTGGCAAAGGGTTAAAGCGTGGCCACCCGATTTGCCTTCAACCAGCATAAGAAAGCAAAACCTGCCTTGACATATGTCCGTCAAAGTGCAGTTCGTCGCAGGACGGATAATCTCTAGAATAGAGGCGATGTCAGTCGGCAAGTGACGCACCTCAGCTTCCTGAATAAACCTCTCTCTTGGTTCAATTTGGCCTGAACGTTCGTTCGGCGCGGAAAAGAATAATTAATAATCCCCTTTGCAGCCTCGTTTGAGAACGTCTCGACTCGCACTGAACCGCCACTGAGTCCAAAAGTCTTTGCTACATAAAGCAAAGCTAATCTTTCGTCGCGATGCCTTGTGTTATGTTTAATAATTTTAACGGTTATCGGCAAATAAAATTTGTCTGTCAGATAATTTTTCACACGCTACTTTTGAGGCTCATAACCGAGATGAGGGCCGTAAACAATGGAGTAGTAAGTAGTCGGAAAATCGAAAGTCAGACATTTTCGACAACGGTAGTTTTGATGCCTTTGCGCGGTGTTTCTTTGATGATATCACAGAGGTACCCACTGATCATCTATACTCTTTATAGCTCGCGATTTATAATAAATTTTCGTTTTAGCGGCAACATCAAAGATAACCGTTAAAATTGTAAACTATTATCTCCTGTTAGTACAGCCATATGAATTGTATGACGGCCAGTTTCACGGCTGTTTCACAACTGGTGCTTTAGATGGCCTGAAGTTCCGTACGATGCCAAACATGATCATCGTCGAATGGATATATACGCAGCTTCATATAACCTGTCCGAAAATTAGTCAGTGTGGGTTGGTTTAAATACAAATTTCGTGACTGTTTTGCACCTCGCACGTTGTGAATATTCCATAATTATTTTATGCGATCGTCAGCTGTCACTAACAACGTAACAGCGACGGTAATTCACCACAGACCTTACTAATTAATGATTTGCTATTTGGTATACTAGAATAATATGTTCCGCATGTCGTAAAATTAAAAACAGATTGACAACGTTATGATGAATAAAGTCATGTTTATTGATTGTTTGCAGTGCAATTACAAACGCCATGGAAATTGTTCTACATTCGAGTGCACATTCATCACATAAATGTTTAGTGTTTCTTGGTTTATAGTCTATATAGAACGCATGTACAATTTCCCATGAAAAATAGAGCCATATTAGCTGTTTTTCAGAATGTCTGTTTTCAATGTACGCCAAGGTTAGAAATCTTCCCACTTCTTCTCAGCGCCAACGTCTTGAGGGGGGGGGGTGACAGAAGTTACTCCTTCACTTTATTCCGACGTTTCGCGTCTGGCACAGAAGTTGCCTTCATAAGAATGCTTCGCAGCACAAAGATGCAGTGTAAAATTCAACAGTAAGTCAGAAAAAATTACAAAACAATGGTAAAGGACGAACGAGCAGATGTAAAAATACAAGAAAAAAATGTTACAAAATGTATTAACTAAGTTTTGAATCTGCAGCAGTCAAGGGAGTGGTTGAAATTAATGAAGCTGCGTTTTCTTACTTGGTCACTTTGAAGATTTCAAAGCTGAACAGATATCAATAAAGACGGTGCAGCTGTAGCATATTCTTTCCCTGTCAAGCGAAATATGTAGGGAGACTTTGATGAGTAAACTAAGTCTGTTCTTTCTTGCATTACGATTTATTCTATTAGAGATATGCTTTCACCGAAATTCCCATGTTCAGGGCTCTGTGTGTTAGCCATGTAAATTCAATCGCATGTTTTACAGTTGATCTGATAAACCATTTCAGCTTTACCATGGTTAGCTTTGGAATACAATTACCTGCATTAAATGAATCAAAAATTGAACTCACTTTCACTCAGCTGAGAAATGATGTGCAACGGATACGCCAGCTCTATTGTCATTTACTCGGCCTGCAAATCAATAATGTTGTTAATATCGCCATATAAATAATAATGCTGAAATCACAGAATATTCAAAAAGGAATGTCTTAACAAGAGAACTGATGTACCTGGTTTAAATCAAATGTCATTCATTGCTTTAAAGAAAACAGTGTACAACTGAATGGAAGCTAAAACCGCATACCTGATTCAAATAAGTGTCAAACAAAGCTTAGTGCTTGTGCAATTAGCAGTAACTAATTATCTAAGCCGTCCAGTATATTCTTCTAATATTTAAACATACAAGCGTTGAAAAAACACAAGATGTATATGTTGGCTAAAATTCTCTCTTAGGTTTACATTCGATTCTGTGGCTATCCGTAGGACGAGTCAGTATTCTTCGAATTTTCGATGTGCCACAAATGCATTAATTTGATAAGGAATTCTAGCCAGATCCTCTTTACTTTCAGCAGATTTCTTTCTGTATTTTTGGAAATTTCGCAATTCCAGGACGGACACCGCTTTAATCCTCTTTATTTTCTCCAAGTGATTTTATATTTACTCATCACTCCACTCACCCAAACGCTTTTGCGGAATATGTTTAACTGCCAATCTTTGCTATCTTTCATTCTTGCACTGTGCTTCATTAGTCTACAGGATTGCTTGGCAAATTTTTATGCAAAAAACAGTTTAAACGTAGGTTTTAAGTGCTTGCTTAGCAATTTTCAGTAATTTTCAATACAATTATCGTTAATCTATGTGTGTAAAAAACTGATTGTTCTTACAGAGCAATTCAGCTCTATACAATCGATCGCTTAGTTTTCAGTTGGAAGACTCAAAAATGGAATTTATTGAAGCAAGATGTTTGGAATTATGATTTAACGAATGTGTTTTTAGTCAGCCAGTTTGAATTACCGTTTATTTTGTAGGACTGCAGAAGCAAATGTGCTAAACGGTGTCTAACGTCCCTGATCCTGTGCCAGAGTGATAAATGAAATGGCAAATTAAAACCTTTTCTCATTTGCTCACATAAAACCATCGCTAGATAAATATTTTTAATAAGCTTTTTAGTTTTATACTAAAATTGTTGAATATTTGCTTCTGCCATCATGAAACTTAAGGCGATTAATTCAAGCTTCATCAAGAAGCGAAATGTTCATTTTATCGAGGTGCCACTAGGGCAATACTGTGCTGATGTAGCTTGTAGCTTTCTACAGTATATTCAAGTGAAGCTGCACCCGCTGGTTTCTCTGTACCGTGTATGAGTAGGCATGGAGTTCCTTTTCGGTTGGATTTTTGCTAGCGTTGTCCTGTTTGTAATATGCTTTGCATTTTGGCTATTATCTCGTGCCCCGTATGATCAGGTGTTGCTTTCTGCCAGCAGCAGCACGTCTTCGGCTTCCGAGAGGCCGGAACACCCTCGTGAGACGGCGAATCCCGATTTGACCGCCAGCGATAAGAAGAAGACGCATTTTAAGTTCAGGGCACCATTGAAGGGTTCGTCGTCCTATACTCACCCGTGGCTGGCCGGCTCCTTGAAGGGGCATCTGTCTCGAGTGTTGGATTTTGACTTGAGTCCTAACGGCAAGCATCTAATGACTTGCTCGGAAGATCGTAGCTTGATCTTGTGGAATTGCTCTGACTTCTTGGAGAGGGAGCATAAATGCTTCAGGCTGAATCTGGACTTGGACCACGCGCTGAAGGTGTGCTTTGCGCCTGACTCCAAGTCACTGCTGCTGTGCATGGCGTTCGACAACACCCTAACCGTCTACAAACTGGCGAAGAAGGAAAGCCACGCGTTTCGTATTGAACAAGTGGAAAATGTGCAGTTCGAAAAGGTGCATAAAGCTGATATCATTGCCATTGGCATATCTCCTGACGGTAAGCTTCAATTTATTAATTTTTGGCCTTCTGTCAATTGTCTTCCCTGCCAAAATAATGTAACGTTTAAAATGAATAAAAATGTTTAGTTTGATTGTTGTTTGTCGTCTTCGACATCAGCCAGGATCGAGGTATTAAAATCAAGGACCAGGTACGTTGATTATTGGGATCTGGCTCTTTTGGCTCTCTTTTTATGATTTAGGCGATATAGGTTGCTCAGGTAATATTCCTAGTCGCCTCTAGTATCTGTTTTAGAATGTGGTATTTGCTTTTGACAGGTCTGTGGCCATTCTTTGCTTTCCGGAGGAGAGTAGCTTTGAATAGGTCCCCTCTCTCTCCATATGGTTCTGTTAAATCACGACAGAACGCCGGTCTCTGATTTCATCAGACAGCATTCTCATGCGGGTAATCTTCAAGACCTTTTCATTCATTATTCTGTCGAACCATCGCACTTTGAGAATGTTCCGAAAGCAGCGCTGCTGCAAAGTGTCCAGTATCTTTTCGTGGAGCTTTAACAGGGTTGATATTTCAAGGCTGTTCATCAGGATGGATTGCGAAGACAGCCTCTTTCAGTATGGTGACCGTTGTTGCTATCCAGATAGATCGATTTTGTCACCTAGTAAATAGCCCAAAGTTCACATATGCCCGTCTTAAGCGCAGCTTTTTCTCCAAGTCGCAGTTTCTATCTCTTACCAGAAAGGAGCCGAGGTAAATAAAGTATTCGCCTTACTCAATAGTCGTTACATTCCATTGAATCTATGACTCGTTAGTCGAGTCGGATGCTCGCAAGATTTGCTTTGATGGGGTTAACTCCTGGGCATACCGTTCAGGCCACCACGCACATTTCTCGTGTTTATGCCAGTAAGCCACTGGCGGAGTCACTGAGCAGTACAGTTTAATCAGCCTACTCGAGATCTGTTACGAGTACTTCTGAGTACTTAAGGCCGAGTCGTCGTCTCATGGTAAGTCCCTCGCTGTTGTTGGGTACTTCGCTCTCCTGCTTCACATAATCCACCACCACGGTGAGCAATAGAGGTGAAAGCCCTTATCCTTGGCACAATGCTGTTGATTTTAAGCCAACGACAACGACTCTTTTGTTCTGATGGCGCCTTTAGTACCTTCGTGCAGTATTTTTAGTAGAACGTTGATCTTCTGCATTATTTCTTATTGTCGCAGAATGCGTCTTAAGGACTGGCGGCGCACAGAGTCGAAATCTGCTTCGAATTCGAGGAATGTTACATGCCTAGGTAGTTGGATGTTCTTTCCCTGTTCCGTGATTTTCATTAATACCGCGATGTTATCCGTACATGAGAGTCAGGTTCAAAACCCTGTTAAATTTGATTTAAATTCGATTAAATGCAAATTTTCAATTGCGTCCTTAAGTCATGGGCAGAGGGTTCGGGCAAATTCCTTTTCTAGTATAGGTAGAGGCGTAATCCCGCTCTAGTTGGCACAGTCAGAGCGATTTCCACGTTTGAACATGGGAATGATCAATCCCTGCTTCTAGTTCTCAGAGTTTTGTGACTTCTGCCATATGCTGTCAGAAATCAAATGGATACAGTTCAGTAGCTTTTCACTTGGGTACCTCAGATTTTCCGCACTATTCCTTACATATCTGGAGGATAGCGGATTTCGAACTTCGACATACGCCCATGGCATTTCGGATTTCGTCGTTTGATGTAGCGGAGCAGTCCATTTTTGGTTCTTCTCTATCTGTGATGTCTGTATCTGAATCACCCCCTGGAACGGACCAGTTTATCTGTTCCTCGAAGTGTTCTGCTCAACTCCTTTGTCCGCTGTGTGGATTTTGAAGCGACTTATTCGATTTGCTATGAATCAGACAAGTTATGGGCTTATGTTTGCCATCATTGGTGATGATGTTGACTTGTCTCTACAGCAACTTCGATTTTTTCTTCAACGTTGCTTGTTCCAGGTTCTACGCTTCGAGTTCCATCCATTGTCGCCTGTGACAGCAGTAGTTCCTGTTGGCCGCTTTCACTCGTTTTCGTCTCACTAGGGTTCTGTAAGAACTACAATTACCCTGTTTGAACTGTTATTAGAGCAGCAGCTTGGGGTTTGGTGTTGGCAGGTTATGTCCTTAGCAGCAACGAATTGTTGTTTATCTCATCTAGGAACACTGGCAAGTTTTTCGGATCATTAATTTGCCGGTGTTAGCTTCCATCTGAACTAATATCAGCCCCATTTCATGGTCCAGTATCGTGAGGAGCGCTTCTGCACTTTCTGCTGACCACTTCTAAGCGTACTCCTGTTTCTTGTATGCGGTCACAACGTTGACCTTCAGGTGCTTTGCTGCAAGACCGCAAGCCAATATCAGGTCGTAGAAAGCCAAAGCGTTAGATGCCCATGACGACAGCACCATTGCGACTTGTGACTACTCTTGTCTTGAATCCTGATTTCCAGGCGATCTGGTTTGTGAAGTACGTTTCTGTAAACGTTTCGAAGTCGAGATGTAATGTAGCTTTGGCTTATAATGGTTGAAGAAGGAAACGAAGAAGGAAGAAAGGCTAGCAGTCCGACTGGAGTTCAGACCCGGGACCTCTCGATTCTGAGTCAGACGCTCTAATGACTAATCAACCTCAATAATCCTTGAAAGCGTTCCATTAGGTTTTAGCTCTAACTGTGTAAGAGGTAGAATAATGCAACGCTTAGATTTTTATGTTGGTGTTCTCGAAAGCATTAGACTTAATCAAGTTGTTCATCCTCTGAACAGAAGATGACAATCGCTGCATAAGTCCGACAGATGACCTACATAACATTGTGTCAACATGATCAGAAAAGAAGAGAGAAACATCCCATATTAGGAAAATACTGCTTCCAAAAATTATGATGATATTTTTACATTACTTTGAACAGAGGATTATATTATCACTATCACTGTCACAGAGTACGGTACCTTTTCTCTGGATAAAATACAGTACTGGGGCCAGATCAAGACCTCGATTGTCGGTCGTCATCTCCGGATGCCTCTTCATTTTATTACTTATGTGCCATCGACTTTGATTTTTGCTTAAGCTTTCATGTTGGAATTGAGGAGATGTTAAGGCTTCTTTAGCTTTGGTAACTTTTAGAAATTTCCAAAGCTTGCTGTTTCTGAGTTTGAGTTAACCTCCATGCGGTGTTTCATGTCTAAGTGCCGTTGAGACTTAGCGTCCATCACGATGCCCAGTTTAAACAGCGAAAGCACCTTCGCAAATAGCTTATTTTTCTCCAGACACAGTTTAATGAGACGTAAGGTTACTGATTACCGTTCTGCTTATGGATTGCACACTCGTTTTGCTTTCTGTAATGCCTGTGTTGTCGTACGTGGCTCAGAATCGTAAACAGGATATTATTTATGGCTTATGATAATGCAGTTGACCATAAACAGTGTTTATTAGCGAAAGCATTGCGTAACGTCACCAATAATATTAAAGCTTTGAAGTTGTTTCCTTGACAACAACCGTGATGAGTCGGAAAACAAGATGTAGCTAACTCCATTCTGTTGAGCCAGGGATCGATTGTATCGCGACGATTAAATCACCGTTTCCGGTTCCAGTGCGTGCGTTTTATTCAGCATGACAATATTAAGATTAATTTCTTAGGCGGGTAGCACGTTGCTTCCTGTTGACATGTTTATGGTATCTTTTTATGCAAATCGATCTAAAAGTTTTGAACGATTTGAAACAGCTTAAATCATGTTTGTCATTCTATAAGCCAGTTTGAATCTCTTAAGGTTTATTTTATAACTGTTTCGCTAGAATCCGACTGTAGGATGTGGTTCTTTAATAAGCTGTTGATTTTCTCTGCACAACTCTTTCCGTTTCTTCCGTTCGGATGCACACCGTGTGTTACCGTATCCTTTTTTAACTTTCCCCAATTTTTCAAATGTGGCTGTCCCCCTCCTCATGTGCAAGTTGTTCATGCATCCAGCTGGGAAACCGAAAGATTCTGAAAACTGGCCCAGCAAAGTTAACAGACCATAGGAAACGTCCTCTATTGACTCATCTTCATTTTTATGACTACACCATAATACTTGCTAATAAACTTTTTCCACCATCGCAGAGCTGTAGCCAGTATGTGTTGTGGTTTACGATTTGTTCCCTAGTCCGATTTTTCAGTTTGCAATTTTAACACAACTCTAGAGTCATTGAACTGTACTCTAACTGGGACTATGATCCTAAAGCTACTAAAATCTCACTATTCCATCAGGGGCAGCGACTGTTCCAAGTCAGGTTCACTTTTAATTCCACAGGTGGTGTGCCAAGAAGTATAAGATCGTCCCAGATCTTGCCCCAGATGCGCGTGGGAATAGTCAAGCATTCCTTTATTTCATGCTGAACTATCTGAATCATAAAAGAAAGATATATTATACGATATACCCGACGTTTCAGATGCTACCCTGTGTTTGGGATTTGTAACTCATTTCAGGTATAAGATATTTGTGGAGTAAACTTTTAGAATTCTTAGGAAACATTTTCTGGTTGCTTTTATATTCGTCGCCATTTGGGGCTAACTTGAATTGAAAGTGACTACATTGAGGCCCAGTCTGTCGATTATTTCTTATCTGTTTTGAAGATCTCGTCATGACCTTATATTTGCTTTGCGGAAAAATCATAATGCTAATCATAAGCAGGCCAAATTTATGGATTTACTCCCAAATTTGCATTATGTTCAGATCGATGCGGTCAGAAAATGCGTCTCTTTTTTGATGTGTTTTAGGGATCATCCCTTTGTCCAATGAGAATTCACCCCTCCGATTCAGATATTCTGAATAGCACCGATATTAGAAAAAAACATGAACAGGCTTGTTTGGGACCAAGAACAAAAACACGAGTTTTTGACGTATCACTGCACCATTGGTAAAATAAATCCGAAAGTAAGACTTCGTCGTTTTTTTCAAGTCTGAAATTTGAAACGCACCAACGTTGGATGGCAGTGTCGTCTACCAGTCATGAGAGGCTGACAAGAACAGTATAGGATTTTAAGCCGTGTTTTTCGATCTGAATCATGTACTCAGCCAAACGAGTGTTATTTTCTTTCCATCACCAGTACTTCTATACGGTTTTACGTGGATCTTCTGTTCTTTTTATTAAAATTTCTTTTCAAGAATAGATGGGATGAAAAAAGACGTAATCACACCCTCTTCACAAATTATTATGAATAACAGCTGTAGAGCATTCAGTTTTAGTATTTTGTGAAATTGTGTTCTTTGACATAACTACTTATCAGGGATCATATCAGCCCCATTTATCAGAGTCGTAGGATTTGGCCGTTTCCACGATCATAACAGGCGTCCATGGCTAAATTGGCAATTGAAAAGCATAAACCCCCTCATTAGGTACTCCTTTGTGTATTCGTGTTACGTCATAATTCAACGTTACCTGTTCCTACAACCGACAGACGCCGGTGCAATTACAGACAATTGTCGGTTACAAAAATAATATCACCAACATGATAGATCATTGAAAATTTATCGTCGCCGTGTACAATTCATTCGCTCTATGGATGGCTACAATTCGTCTTGATTCGGCTACATTATCATCATTATTACTTAAAACAACGTCAAAGCCATAAATTAAACTTGGAAAAAAATTGTTCGCTTACGATATGCTAATGTTATTGTGTTATCCTTAGTTCTACCTTGTTCGCGGTACTGACCGTGGTTCTCAAAATTTTAGCCTTCGTCATCCACCCGTGGTCAATATTAGAACCGTTGTTTGTCACAGCCTCTGCATACCCCCCCCCCTTATATCCTGTTTTGTCCGTTGTACAGTACGGTTTCGTTAAGACATTACCCATTATACGCCGATCGTTTATCGAGCACACATCTGGCAATATCCTGACCAGCTAATCTTTAAACAACTGGATCACTAGCCATCTTCCGCGTCGACGAGTTGTTGCCGCATTGTACTTCCGTAAATCTCTGGATCTTCCCTCAGTTACGTAGTTAACTCTCCTTTGTCCCAGTTGCGAGCATTTGCCATGCAAAGG